GTTCTAAGATGGATTGTAGAAGTGGAATTGCCAAAGGTTCTTGCGTTTAAGAGATTGATAAGAATTGTCCAATTGCTCTTTAAAAATGTTGCAATTACCCTCCAGACGTGGTATGAGATGGCCCTTATCCCACACTCTTTTTAACATACATATTAACAATCTCTTTAAACTTTTGCCAACCTAAAAGAAAAAGAATCTCATTATTTTTAACACCATATGTCCATGGTCACTAGTAAGACTGAGAAACTTCTCGTATTTTTGGCCATTTGAAGTTCTTATTTTGAGAATTTCCTATCCATGCTCTTTGCTCTTCTCTAATAGCTTTCTTTTTTTCTATTGATTAACATAAGTATTTTTATGTGTGGAATAGTAACAAATAGTTATGAATATTTCCTCCCATATCTATTAGTTAGGTTTGTTAATTATAGGGCAGGTGTTTTCTCCATCATAATGTTTTGTGGTCTTTTACTATGTTACAGTGTCTTCTGCCTGTAGTATATTTAATTTGACAGTAGTCACATCTATCAGTCTTTCCGTTTGTGATATTTACTTTTTATGTCATACTTAGGCTTTAGATGGATACATATAGAGGCAAAAGCATACTTGCATACACTTTAAATGTGTAACTACCTGTACTATAAGGAACTGAAGGCATTAGGCCAGGTGGTACAGGGACAGTTGTCATGTAGGATGGTGTTAGAAATTAGAGGAACGTAGTATAAGCTAGTGTCAGAACGGTGATTTCTCTGGTTGAGGCAAATCACAATCTACCAAATGTGTATAATGTGTGTTAGTAGCCCATTCTCTAATGTCATTGGATATATATACTGAAGATATGTGTTGAGGGGAAGTCACCCCATATTCCCTCTACTCAAATGTCGGCTGGGAGGAAAGGGTCTACTACTGCCTACTGTCACCAGTTAGCAACAGGCATAAAGTATTCCAGCCTATATAGTAAACTGGGAGTTTATAAACTGAAATATTTAAGTAAAATCCATGTACATATTAAAATGAGAAAAGAGTGATAGAATGATGAGAACAACAAAAGCGTCATCTTACTAAGTCAAGAACAAAAGGGTTAAGGCTGGCCGACAGAGCCACAATGTCTGCGGCAGTTGCAGACACAACCAAGTGACTTCTGGTGTAAACATCTTCCCACTGTCCACAACTCTAGTTACTGGAATTGGGATATCACTGCTGCCAGTCACACACCACCAAGTTCCTTTGCTCTGAATTTATATTCATCATGCAACCTTCAGTTCATAGTTTTGTTTCCTAAGTAGATTGCCCTACTCGGAAGACAATGCATTAACCAGCATCAGTATTCTGATTAGCTTGGCAGATATGTGTCTCTTTGTGAATTATTCAGTCCTTCACAAATTGTTCCTATAGTCACTGGGAAAAGTTTGTAAGTGAATAGATGCAATGTCCTGTATGGTCCATTATGTGCCTCCATCATCCATATGCCTCCATCACATATTATTCTGTCCTTATGCTATCAAACACTACATAGCTTTTCCTTTTCTTTTGCACAGCATTCCGTGTAATACACATATGCTGGAGATTATTGTGAAAAAAAGTAGAGAAGAGGGATAAGGGTCATGAAGGACACAGGAGGTGAAGCACTTCATAGTTTATCAAGATATGAAAACTGGCACCTAGTTTTTTATGCCCTGGAAATAATAATTCGTGGTCTCATGTGACTTAGGGTCCCATAAGTAGTTTTTCAAGGCCTAAGAAAATGTGGCTGAATAAAAATTCCTACATCTGCAGAATTGAGATACATTCTGGTCCTTTGATACCTCTCATAAATGCCCTCCAAAGGTACTATGATTAATCGACCTGGTAAAATATACATGTGAATATTCACAAGTGGAGGCAAATCAGTGACTTGGGGTTATTTGGTGTAAAGAAACTAGTGATTGGTGACGACCGTAATGTGAACAGTCTTGAAGGTGGAGAAAGGGAGATAAGAGCCACAGAGGAAGGAAATGTCATTTTTTTCAACAAAAAATTTTTGAGCACTTACTATGCTCCAGGTACTGCTTTAGGCATTTGGGATACAACAATGAGCAATAAAAATCCAACTTCCTCCCCTCTTAGAACTTTATTCTGGCAGAAAGAGGCAAACAATAAACAACAGACGTACTAAGTAAGTAGATTATATCTGTGATTATGAAACTGTTAAAAGCAAACAAAGTAAAAATCCTTAACGCCTCCCTGTGCTGGCTAAAAAGGTAAAGGTATGTACAGGTGTACATTTATCCACCCAGGTAATGGACGGTTCTTCCTAGAGTTTTAGATCACATGCAGGGAGTAAAAAGAGCAAGGTTATTCGGTGACTGATAGTGAAGAAGATCACCTGACAGTTGTGTTTTTGCAAGGAAAGGAGACAGGTGGGCAAAAAAATAAGAACGGGCCTCTTGATGGACTTTTAATGAGCAATTTGGTTCTTATCTTATGGAAAGTGAAATCCACTCCAGTCCAATAGAGCCTGCCAAGAAGATCCTGCTAGAAAGGATTTTGATGGACTGATGGGGGTGAAGCTTCAGGAAGCCAAAAGGAAGATGTTATAATCACTCTAGTTGAGGGGACTACAGTGGAAGCAGGGGTCACAGATGAATGCATGACGCTAGAGGATGCCATGGGTCACTCATCACTTGTCATTTTGCGGCCTGAGATGGACTTTGGCAGGGGACTGAGTGAAATAACAATGTCCTCAGCCCACACCTTCTCCGCCACATACTTCTGTGATTTCTGACTAGTTATAGGGTCAGCTGGGGGCTCTGTTTCCTCGTCTATAGAAGTGAGAAATAATACCTGGCCCATCTACTTCACAGGGCTTTTGTGAGAACCAAATGAGGTACCAGGGAAACTGTTCTGTAAGTAATCAAATGCTCTCCAAAGAGAAGATATTCTTATTCTCAAGGCTTTTTTATTCTCATCAAATACCTGATATAATGTTTGATTCCTTTTAGTTCACACCTGGAAATAATCTGGATTTTCAGAACAAGAGTAACCTCAGTCCTGCCAGTTCACAATCCAATTTCCCCCACAAAAGCTTGTAATGGCCAAAGGGTAGGGAGAAGGTTCAGAGGAAAATCTAGTACCATCGTATAGGTTAGGAAGCAGCACAGGAAGAAAATCCATGCTCTACTTCTTTTTAGAACAGACAGAAGTAAGTGTCATGTCTATGTTTGGGGGATATCTTCCAGCATCTGCTCCCAGATTTTGATTTTTCTGCGGCTTCTGAGAAGACAGAGGCTGCCAGTAGGCAGGGCTCACCTCTGCCCTGGCTCTCCTCTTCCGGGTTCTTATCCAATGTGAGCTTGGCCAGGTGAACTCAGCTGCAGGCTTGCCTTTCTCCTCCACTGCTGATTTTCCTGAGAGCCCTATAATTCTCAAGGTCAGACCTTCCCATGCAATGCTAAAGCTGACAAATGTAATCTCTCAAGCAAACAGGTTATTTTGCTGTAAAACCTCACAAAGAAAGGGGAGGGACATTTCTCTTGGCTTGAAATTTTAAGCTACTTTGAGTCCAAGCTCACAGGGAGTCTCTATGATTTTCTTCAAGGGGGCCTAAGAGCAAAAAAGAAGCACTTTCTGTCTCTTATTGAATATCCCCATTTCCAACCTCAGTCAGGCTACTCAAACAACACTCCCTCCAGGTTTTATCAGCTTAAACCTGGCACAGACGTGTGGTGTGTGAAAGGATGTAGGTTGTTATTCAGTGCCTCTGGCATATCATGTTAAGATGAAAAACATAAGTTTGCTACTTACAGGGGAACTGTCAGTCCGAGGTCATCATTCCCCAGCAGGCCACAGAATAAGCCACACCACAAATAATGTTCTGGGTGTGGGACAAGCGTCTGGTTAGTGTCTCCATTTGGGAGAAGCAAAGAGAACAGCATTTCCTCCAAATACCAGATCAATCATTTAGAGGCAATTCATCTTCTACTAAAATGATCTCAAGTTCACGACTAATAAGACCACAGCTGCCTTTTTATGGTTGAGTTACCCACACACAACTCGGCACCATATTCTAGGTCAGGTCACAACTGCGTAATAGGCCTCAAACTTGGCAGTTTCATGTTCTTCTGTCTTTTCCTTGCCCAACCCACACTGAATTACACACTGACCAAAGCTCCCCCGGAGTCACATGGAATGAGGATTTGGCTCTAAATGTCCAAATTTGCTGCCCAAAATGGAGGCCTCCCCGGCCAACTAAGGTTTTCCATTCCACTTCCAGAGGGCTGCCATGCTCTTTCCAGAGCCCTACACAGAATTCAGTAGGTGGCCTTTTCCTGCTGATGGTCCAGGTTATGCACTCATAGATAGGGGAATCACAGATGGCCCTGAAATTATAAAACGACCCCAAATTCAAGAGAAAATGAGACTCATTTGTTTACAGAATGAACTTGAACTGCAAGGAGCACAGAGAGAAACAGATCTTAGGGAGAGAGAAGGAAAAGAGTAAATAAAAGTTTGTCTTGGTTTCCCCTCTTTTCAAAATCAATTTTGCGAAATTGTTAATTATCCTTGAAAGGATGTGAAGTGCAGTAAGGAGGAAGTCAATGTTAGCATTTCGGATATCCTGGCATATGTCACATGCAGCCTCTGGGACATCCAAGATGACATGGACTGACATGTTGCTCCAAGCACACATTCTACATAACCGTTACATTTGCGTAATTGATCCGTTCCTGGCATGTAAAGCCCTGACCTCTGGGTGCTGAGGGATTAAAATATCAGTTTAAACCATTATCCTTATGTAGGTGGATGCTAACTTCTTCTATTTGGCTGTGTCCCTGGAATTTTAGTTTGCTCTAAAAATGTAACACTCGAGTCAAACAGTGGGCACTGGTCTGAGGACCAGCACACTGGGGCTCACTGCTCTCTCTCCTGCCTCTCCATTTTGATCTCATATTTTTATATTGCACCATTAGCACTCTACACTGGGACAATGGCCTTAGCCATGGTCACATGCAGAGCTGAGCACCAGCACCCTGCCTTGTACATAAAGAAGCTGAGTAAATGACACTAAGATGCTTACACCCTTCTTCTTGGGTCTCATCTTTATCAAGAATTCATACTGCTTGTTTCCACTAGATTTCTTCTGATTAAAAATCTATAATGATGTACAATGGCTTAACTTCATGTTATTTTTCTTGGATATCTTCATTCAACTCTTTGACCAAAATAATGAACAAAAAGACATAGAGGACAGAGCTCTGTGATGTTTCACTATAGATATTCTAATTTCTACCTAAATTTGTAGATTCAGCCTATGGTTTGTTGTTGTTGTTGTTGTTGTTGATAAAAATCTCAATCAAAATTAAGTCAGTGTGAATTTGTTGACATCAAGAAACTTGAATAAAAGAGGAAAACATTGTTCCAACCTTCAAAGAACTTCCAATCTGATGAGGGTATGTGTTTGTGTACCAGATGGAGGCAGGGGTAAGGGATTGGGGGAGTTGGGGACATGAAGGGTAGGGAAAGTGTTTAAATGAATATTTAAAGGCCACAGTTTACCAAAGAAGTGCAAAATGCCTCCAGGTTCGAAAGAAGGGAAAGTCTCCATTTGCTTGAGGAAATTCAGAGCAGCTTTATGAAGCAACATATACCTTGCTTCCCACATCTCTGCATATCATCATTTCCATGTCTTTCCTCCACAACTTTTTTGGGGGGTGGTTGGACCATCAGCTTATTTCAGCTTTTCCCTTTCCTGACCACAGCACCCACCTGGCCATTCTTCTACTTCAGCACCTAGCACATCTTCTCTTTTACCTGCTATCATCCTCAAAAACTCTAACAATCAAAATGTTAACACTGTAGTATGCTGGCTCCTCCCTTTATTATCAACTCCAAACACAGCTGCCCACTTACAGAGTCATACCTCAACTTTCAACACCACTTGAAATTGATTTACTCCAAAAATGCAACTTAGAAACTCCTCTGTTGGATGCTACCCCATCACCCCTCTCCCATTTCTCTTATCATTTTACATTTAACAAACCTTGGTTCTTGTCCACATTGTGATCTTCATTCTGTCCCTTTACCCTTCACAATCCTCTACTACATCCACTCCAATTTTGGCCTTTGTTATTTTCTTCCTTAGCCTGGAGTTTCTGGTTAGCCTATCTAACAATGCATTTGCTTGCCAGGTAGCATCTCTTGACATGCTGCCATTATACCTCTGTCAACTTCAACTGCCATGCCTCAATAAGGGCTTCATAGCTACACTTCCAGGCCTTTTATTCACCTCTTGACAATTCCATGAAGCATGTCCAACATTTACTGTTTCATTTACAGCTCTCCTCAAAATTCACAACATCACCTTTAGGAAAGGATCTTTGCTTTCAATTCACTGAAAAGATATAGACCAAATGTAAATATTCTACATCTGCATTGTCCAACATGGTATCCACTGAGCATGTATGGCTGTTGAACATTTGAAATGTGGCGAGTGAGACTGAGGTACTGAATTTTAAATTTTATTTAATTTTAATTAAAATTTAAATAGCAACATGTAGCTAGTGGCTACTCTATCAGACATCACAGAGGCCAGTGTTGTCCAACAGAAATATGATAGCTTCATAAGTAATTTCAAATTATCTAGTAGCTACATTAAAAAAGAAAAAAATAGTAGAAATTAATTTCACATAATTAATAATATCACTTTCACATAGTTAATGTATTTTATTCAAATACATGAAAATGTTATCATTTTAATATATAATCAATATAAAATTATTAATGAGATATTTTGTATTTTATACCAAGTTTTCAATATCTGATATGCTTTATGCTTCTAGCACGTCTCAATTCAGACATTAGATTTTCATAGAAAATATTTGATTTGTATTAATTTCACAAACTTTCTAGTTGAAAACATAAATTCACACACCAAGCTGTTCCAGAGACACTTAAAAAGTTTTCCACTAACTTAATCAAGTATCAGGTTTTTGTTTTCAATATCAATTAATTAAAATTAAGTAAAATTAAAAATTTATTTCCTCAGGCACATTGGCTACACTTCAAGGATTTAGCAGCCATATGCGGCCAGTGGCTGCCATATATGAATATGCGGAAAGGATGGTGTGACGTTCTCTCCAGCCTCAAGTCTCTCAATATATGGGGTCTTGCTCTTCCTTCAGTAGGCTTTCTAAGGAAGGCACATCTTACTTAACCCCTCTCATCCCTACTGCTCCTCTAAACCCTCCCGACTAACCTCAGTGTCTTAATGTAAGCATCCCCACCGCACCCTTCTCATCCCCATCAGTGGTTTCTCCTTGTCATGATCCCTCCTCTTTTTCTGTGGCAGTCGCTCTACAGGCCAGCAGCAGCAGCAGCAGCAGCGTTACCTGAAGACGTGTTAGAAGTTAATCTTCAGCCTCAGCCACACTTAAACTGAATCAGAAACTTTAGTGGTTCGGCCCAACTGTCTGTGTTTTCACAAGCCCTTTAGGTAATCCTGATCCATTCTACAGTTTGAGAACCACTAGTTTATAGAAAAATGTATTTGAAAGATATACAAAAGCTAATAAAAGTGGTTACCTCTGTATAGGGTGGGGGCAGGGGCAAAAGTGGATGGAGAGAAGCCTAGAAGTGAGATTTATTACGTTGTTACGATTTTGGCATCATTTAAATGTTCAACTCAAATTTTTTAAAAAGAGGAGAATATTTATAATATATTGGACTGATGGACTCT